CTGAACAGAAAAGGGTACAAGGGATTCCAGAAAGAAGTCCAGAAGTGCCTAAGGAATGCTCATTATTTGAAAGACCGCCTTATAGGAGCTGGAATCAGTGCTATGCTCAATGAGCTGAGCAGCACAGTTGTTTTTGAACGACCTAAAGATGAGGAGTTTGTTCGCAAGTGGCAACTTGCTTGTGAAAGAAATATGGCACATGTTGTTGTGATGCCTAGTGTGACAGTTGATAAGCTGGATAACTTCTTGGATGAATTAGTTGAAGCACGATCAATCTGGTACAAGGATGGGGACGTGAAACCTCCTTGTCTCGCTTCAGATATTGGGAGTAAAAACTGTTGCTGCCCTCAGCACAGAATGATCTCTTAGATAGAGAAGAGAAAGCTATAGGTTTCCTGTTGTTTCTGTAGGAAACATTAGAGGCATCGTAGAAATGATGTTTGTATTAGAGAAGCTATAATTGGTTTATCTTTGTTTCTGTATGAAGCATTAGATTCATTGTAGAAGTGATGTTTGAATTGTGAGTTTGAATCTCGTAGAAGCATATCATTGTGTGGCCCTTATGCTTCTGCATTAGTGTGTTTTCCATAAGGAAGAATTTGCCAAAAATACGTGGGAACTTTGTGAATTTTTTTGTGTTCCTCTCCACTTTCTCGGTATGTTTTCTTGTGTATGTGTATGTATGACTAGGGGATAAACAAACATTTCAGCAAGTACTTGCTTTGAACGTAAAGATATATCACTTTGTTGGAGACTGCAAATATTTAATCATCATCAAAGAGTTCCATACTCAATATAACTCTGGATCTTTAGGAACAACTTCAACACCATGAATACTTTTCCTTATTTGTGCTATTACATTCTCCTACAAATCTGAAAATGCTTTAGTGTAGTACAATGTAAAAGACATTATCTAAAGTGTCTCAACCATGACGGGATACTTGTTCTTCAGCATCCTAACAAGTGTTGGCTGGACGGAGTCATCTGTGTCTAACGGTGTCCATCTACAAGGAAAACAAATTTTCAAGTCAGTAATGCAACTGCCCACAGGAAATTAGAATTATTTTATTTTTTCAAAAAGACTGTTTCTTGTTTATTTTCCTTACTTGTATCTGCAGACAAGATGATGAAGAAAGACAGAAATTTCCAGTTTGGCTAAGTTGATTCCAGGACACATGCGTGGTCCACTTCCAAATCCAAGGAAGCTGAAAGGTTTTAGAGGATCCTGTACAGAATCCAACAATTTTCTTTGTTATGAAAATCTCAGTGGTGTTGATTAGAAGGAGCCTGCTTATTATGTTGGAGAACTTACATCAAATCTAGAAGGATCAAACTTCTCAGGATTAGGAAAAATCTTGGGGTCGCGGTGGATAGACACTACATCCAAGTTAAGTGACCATCCCTTCTTGATTTTGCACCCTGAACATGGTTTTAAAGAGTCATTTTAGATCATACAAAGTCTAGATATCGAGAAATCTGTCAGTTACCCTCTATCTCAAAATCTTGTGCTGCTTTTCTTGAAAACCATGGAAGGATTGTGGCCATTCGAAGTGTTTCACTGATTACCTGAACATTGAAATATCAACAAAAAATTGGTTATTTTTGAATTTCAGAGCTGGATTTATGACTAGTATGCAAGCTCACTTTGGCGGTGTAAGGCATATTGTTGACTTCAGACCAGGTGAGATCTAATGAGCCTTGTTTTCGAGCTTGGATTTCTCTATGCTCCTCCTGTAAATAAAAGATTCTAAAGTTATAAACTAATGTCAGCAGTTAAAGGTTGCTCCTTTTCTCTGTTAGGTTCGAATAAGAATTACTCTTAGTCGTTCCAATACAGCAGGATTTTCTTGAAGAAATTTGAGGAGCCATGTTAAAGCAGCAGTTGTAGTATCGTGGCCTGCAACTAGAAGCGTCAATATGTTATCCTTAAGTTGTTTATCTGTGAGTTTGTCATCATCATCTCCTTCTGGTGCATCTTTGCCATGCTTCTTCACCAGGGATTGCAAGAAATCTTGTTTTATGGTTTCCCCACTCCTCCGTTGGTTAATTATTGAGTCTAACATAGCATACATTCGATCACGAGCCTGTAGTTTACAGATAGTCATCTCTTTTAAGCTGTCCATTCATCATATTTTGCATAGAATATCGACAATTTGTTACCTGAATGCCACGATAAAAGGCAGTTCCCGGGACTTTAAAGGGTAAAGAAGCAAAAGAGCCAGAAATAATCTTGAAATTGGTTCGAAATTTCTCTTGCTCCTCACCAGTTGGCTCTAAACTCATTATCATGTTGCCTATAACCTTCAGTGTAAACTGCAAAAAAACATAATCTGAAAGGCTTAAAAATGCCTCCTTTAGACCAAACACTAGGAAAAAATGATCAAAAGACTCAACTGTGGAAGTTTCTTCAAGAACCAAAATTTTTCTTCCAGACCACTGATCCAATGTTTCAATAGCTAAACTGTTGATAAACTGAAAATACTTCTTTAAACCATCAACAGAAAGTGGTTCAGCAATTAGTCTTCGGAGTCTCTTGTGCGCCTCTCCTGTCTGTTGGAGCAAGCTTGTAGGTCCAAGTACTTGCTGTCCTGTGTAGAAAAGGTTTAAGCTCACTATCCCATCTTTACCTGTCAACAAGATCTTGCTTGCCTCTCTTCCGGTCATGAATACGGTATACCTTCCCAATACATAACTCTTAAACACCTTCCCATACCTAATAAGCAAAACCATAACACAAATCATAAATTTGAGGTCAGAATTTAGATAACAGAGAATTTTCTTCGCGAAGTGATGTAAAGATAGCATGTTGAACACTTTTCTGAAGGGAATGACAATGTTAGATCAATCTCTAAAGCTTATATATAGCAAGCATTATCTTGCTGAACCACTTCATAACCTCTCTAAAACATAGCACATATTCAGGATTGCCACTGGAGAAAAATTTGAACAGTTTTCGACGTGCTATATTATGATGTACTCACAGTTGCTGTCTCTTGTTGATGAAGCTGTATATACCAGCAGGGCTTGAAAATTCGGATATGAAAGAGAGACTTTCTCCAATAATAGGCCATCCTAAGGTACCTGGAATTGCTTCCATTTCTTTTGGAGAAGCCTTATTTGTTCTTAATAGGACTAGTAAAACTACTAAAACCAACACTAACAACATTACCATAAACATGATTAGCTCCATTCTTGATTGTGTTAAATCTGCAAAATTTGATGAGTTTATATGTGATATTGTACTGATGATCTCAAGAATGTTCTGTGAACAGCTTAATATTAAAAATTATTCCTTGTTTGTTGTTGATTAGTTTGTACAAGATGAATGGGATAAGACAAATTGACCCCATTGGATATAAGACTCCTTCCGTCCAAATTTATGTGAAATTCTTTTATTTTCCTCGTTAGTCAGTCTCAAAAGAATAGCTCTTTTCTATATTTAATAAGTAACAATTTAACTTTAAACTTCTCATTTAAAACCACAGGCCTTTTGTGTATAATTTATTCAAACACTATAGGAGTGGGGTAGGGTGGAGTGTGTTGGAGGACGGAGAGGAGACAATAAGCGTGGAATGGTACTTATGAAATTTGTTTTCCCTATTTCCACAACTCCATTAGGAACTTATTTTTTTCATTTTAAGGAACTTATTTTTCTAAAAAACATATTTTCCAAAAATTTTAACCAACCAAACGCGGAAAAATTGGTTTCACCATTCTATCTAATTTTCTGCAATGCTACTTATGGACAAGATAATTTCACTTTCCTATTGGAATTAAGCCAAGTTTAGCTTAGTTGGTGTCAACATTCTTGTCTAATCACAGCTGCTTGCCATGTGGATGTGGGCAGTTGTTAATTAATCCTTAATTAACTTGGCTAATACGTAGATTTTGAAATTTTTCTGTAGGTCTAATGCCACTTATTGTTTTTTATTTTGGAACTAAACTATATGCCAAAGTTAACTTAGTTGGTGTAAACATTTCTTGTCATGACAATTGACAGGCTACTTAACATTTGGAAGTGATTAATTAATTAATCTTTGAATCATTGCAACAATGGATTTTTTGGCGTTGAAATCATGGCTATTAATGCCTATGAATATATGGCATCTTCTTCCTAATAATGTCAAAATAGTTTCATATCTATTTCACATTGTAGATTTGAATATTTTTTTCTCAGTTGTCTACATGGGTGTGGTGTTCATTTTGGGATTCAGCTAACCTGAATTCACGTGCTTCCATCAAGACCTTTTCATTTGTAAGATGCAAATTGAGACCTTTAATTAAGAATGAAGAGTCCATATCTCACCTCAACCGTTGATGATAGATTCAACTTTCAACTTCTTGTTTCATACTCAAGTTCTTCTCTTGTTTCTTGTTATGTGGTTTTAGATGTTAGTGGATGACTCTATTATGTAAATATCCTATAAAATTGACATCCTTCCAAAATCACAAACAACAAGAGATATAACAAACATGTTGACCGTCCAACTGCCACAAATACAAGGGAGCGGACCCATAGAGGTAATCCCTAGAGTTTTTTTTTTTTTTTTTTTTTTCATTTCGAATAGTGGCTCCATCTAGCTAGTGTGCTCCTTAGCTGAATGCACAATTTAGCAACTACAGACTAAGACGCTTCAGAAGAGAAGCTACATTCATCCCGAGTTTTACTGTGAATTGTGACAATACTTCAGACGAGTTAGATCACGCATCTCTACTCTAAATCTAATCATGTTCAATAGCAATCATTTAAGAATCCAATCTATCAACTACTATGAGGCTTTGTCAGGTAATGAATCCACCATAAATAAATCCAATTGTGGAAATAAATGCAAATTTTATTTCCATAATCTAAGATATAGTATTCAAGAACAATAGAAGAATCTTTTCAAATTTCATCAGCAAAGTATTATTTTCAAACTCTATAGTAAAATACATAAAAGATGTTGAACAATATCTAACTGATGTTTATAAAACAAGTACGAGTATATCCCATGTAACTAGTATTTTGATAATGGTACAAAGTGATCTGATCAGTATACACTCCACAGCCTGTAACACTATTCATTACATATCATTATCAATATATACAAGGCGCTATGCTAATTACTCATTAGTAACATGTTGCCTTTTCTTTGACATTTTCAACCCCTGTTATTGAAGTTCATGAAGCTAGGTTGGGTCTGCCCACCGATATTCTGGGTACTTGTCGTAGACTGAGGCATGTGCGGCTGCTGTTGTTGAGTATGGTGATTACCACATTGGACAAATGACTGCGGTTGGGGAGGGAAATGTGGACGCGCCCCCCTGCTTCCATTTGCAGCTGACATTTGACCAGCTGTTATCTTTAGATGCTGCAGTTCTTCTCGTAAAGCTTCATTCAGAGCTGGAAATTATTCACACACATATGTCAATACAACAAATAGCAGTGAAAATTATACTACTTATTAAGTTATTATAAGACATACCGTCTCTAAGATGGGCTTGTTGTTCCAAAGCTTGCAGCCGTAGTTTGAGTTCTTTGTTCTCAGTAGTCAATCCACTATTGTCTCTCTGCATCATCATACAGAAATGGCATGTAAATGATTAAGGATATGTTAATTGTTATTATGGTTCTTGAAAGCAGTGTTAGCAATCTGCAGTGGTAATATTCCATCCAGCACCACATAAATACAATACAGTCGATATATGTCTACAGAAATGTCCACAAGTTGAAACTGTGATTTTGCAAGCACAGCATATATGACTCGTGAATAAATGGATCGTCCTAATGTATGTTACCCACCAAAATTAATGAGAATAAGGGCAAAAAGTTCAACTGTCGACCAAAGTAATTCTTTTTAAAAAGGAAAACAAAAAGGGCAAGGAGCATCATGGAAAAACAAGAATGGCAGACCTCCACACAAGTGCATATGCATGATTTTGTGGCAGACAGATCCATACTCAACGATGACAAAAGGAGCGAAGAAGTAGCATAAAGGTGACTTTTCAACCAAAAGTTGAAGTTAAAAAATAATAATTTTACAATCAGAGCAACGAAAATAACGTAGATTCTACAAAAAAAATTATTGCTAGCTAGCAAGATACCATACTCGGATATTTAAATGATGCTAGAAAACAAGATAAGAATAAGAACCTGTTAATTGATGATGACTATTCCTCCATAAAAAGAAAGTTCATTATTTAGCATCAAAGAGAAGCGCAACAGCTTGAAAAAGCCTAATTGCCTGACCAGCTAGAGGGTGGAAAAGAAAAGCTTTGACTGAAAATTTTCCTGTATCCTAAGAAAAGTTATGCTTTCCATAATTAGCACCAAAGAGAATGCAACAGCTTAGAAAAGCCTACTTTCCTGTATTTTCCTCCCCTCCATCTTGCTAATGCTTGCACAACCCCTTCCCCTGATTCTATGCATTCAAACCTTCACGGGATAACACTCTCACTTTTTCCAATATTCACCTCCCAACCACTAGCTCCCTCCTCCAGTGCCAGCAACAGCACCCTCCATATGTAACTAGCAATGGCACCATCTCTCTCTTCTCCAGTTCCCCATTACCATTTTTAGGCCTAAGCATTCCACATTACTTGCAAAAGAGGGCAGGAACATGGCACATAGTACTCACTCAATCAAACAGAATCCTAAATAAATAAAAAAATAATGTGAAGAAAATGAAATTATTGCTGTCAATGTAGTCATAACAGTTTAGTGGTAGATGGGTACAAGTTACCCCAATAACAGCCCTAATTCTAACTTTTTTGATGACAAAAGGGTTAATTTTCGGCAAGCAGGAAATAACGAAACCTCGGTTACTGAAAGTCAAAGGTCGCTTCACTGTTTTATAATAACCATCCGGCTGCATTGAATATTTTGATCATCCGCCAACATTTCTTTCAAAGTCACTTTGTTATTGAGCGCACATTTCTTTCCTCAGTTTGAAGTTCTTCACCAAATTGGTCAGCCAAATTTTGCCCCTTTTACTTCTTAGGTCGCCAACAGTAGGATTCTTGATTCTTCATCATGGTCTTCTCATTAGTAAGATGAACGATCAATTGCTTGACCAGTATATTGGTACTTAAATGTATTTTCCTTCATCTAACCACATGTTGAAAACCATTTAAAGATCAACACAAACACACTCCTACCCAATCATTGGGATTCCTCCCCCTTCCCTAGCTACCCTCTTTGCTAATATTTGCAACCCTGATCCTCCTCCTGAAGGCAAACCTACTTCACCTTCATAATGCTAATCCCCTCTCCTCCTCATGCACCACTAACTCCCTCACCCATTGCCAGCGCCGGCGTTCCTCAAGTCCTAAAAAACCCATCTCTAGCTTTGTGATGCCCCCCTCCTTCTTGGCTGCAGCACCCCCTAGACTGCTCTTCATCAATTCTCCAATTTCTGAACCTCAATGATAATCCTTCACAAAAGCTACTTTCTCATCCCCATAAAGCCATAATTTGAGTAAAAGACAAGATCATAAACATAGCACTTATTCAATTTTTTAATCTACTTTTCCCGATAGGCACTTAGCTGAAAGACAACCCTAAAAAAGGGGAAGAACAAAGATTTATTTCTGTTGATCCTATGATTGTAATTTAGTGCTAGTCGAGTAGTGGGGTGTTTTTATCCAAAAGAGCACTCAACTTTCAAGCTTCTTCAATGACAAAGTTCAGTTTTACTTTAAGAGGGAAGTAACCTGTTTCGATTTCCGAAAGCTAAACATTTTATGATTCAAACATAACCATCCAGGTAACATTGGATCAACTACACATAAAGTCAACTAAGATCTCAGCTCAAGTTACCAACACTGTTGCCAACTTGTTTAATCACATGCTGCGATCAGTTTACAAACTATGCTTGGATCTTATTTCAAAAGCTCCCAAAAAATAACCTAAAGATATGATCTTATACATATCCAATGATGTGACTTGTAGGCAAAAACATTTCTATCCCTCTGTTCCTTTTGATCAACTGAAGAAATGATCCTAATCTATAGAACATACTGAGAATAGCAAATAGAGCCTCTAATTTTTGTCATCAATTTCGGCATTCATAAACTCTGATCTTCAATTACAAAATGGACGAGAGCTTGTTTCTCTTCCTCAGCCCTCACAATTAGGTAAAAAGTACAAGAAATCTAAGTTGCTCGGACTCGGGTGCGGGTGTCTGATACAGGTACGGATCTAGAGGTTGGATCTTTCATGATCTAATTTTTAAGATTCGGGATATGGATCCATGTATGGATATGGGTGCGGGGATTTGCCTATATATAATTAAAATATCTAAAAATAGTGTTATAAAACCTAAATTATGAGATATTATGTGGAGAACTTGAGGAGAATCTTGGAAAGAGATTAAAGGACAATGAGTGACATATAAATTTCTATATAAAAGGTATTCCATTTTCTTCAATTTCACCTTAGCTTGTGTACTATTGATTATAGAAATCATTAAAACTATCAGACTTTCTCCATCAATTTTGGTCAAAGTACCCAAAATCAGTTGACCATATCGGACACGGATCCCACATCCACACCCACACGGCCACACCCATGTCGTGTTGACACGGGTGCGGCACCAAAAGTGAAGAGTCCGAGTAACTTAGCAAGAAATACAGACAGAATCTTTATAAAGACATCTATTAGAAAATCATCCTACCAAAATTCTTCATGCAACAAGTTCGCCAGAATAAGAAAACCATGTAGTTCATTCTTTGAGCCCAACTAAAATCTCATAAGAATATAAAATCATAACATCCTAATTCATTATCGGGCAATGAATGAATTAAGATAATTCAAGTTAAGTCAAAAAATCATACAAAGCAGAGAGCCATTTTGATTTGAAGATGTTACGACTCTGACTCACACACATGCAATCACATATCTGAACACAAAAGGCTATTGAATCTCTAGGGTTAATTCATATAACAAAATCTCATAACCAAATATATATATATATATATATATATATATATATATATATTGGATATACTCATTGCTTATTGTATGAAAACATGAGAAGCTATTGAATTTTCAAGGTAACTTTATACAACAGAATTTGATAACCATGAAGAGTGATGCATATAGTCATTTTGCCTATTAAGAAAACAAAGAAGAGTACTGTAATAGCTTTTAAGAATACAGTCTCCCTATTTTGTACCTGCAGAACCGTGATTTGTGCAGTCAGAGTAGTAGCTTCACTCTGCAGAGTCTGCACCTTTCTCTCCAGTTCACTAGTATAACGAATTTTCCGCTCCTTCGAACGTGCAGCAGATTGTCTGTTTGCAAGAATCCTGTAATAATGCAGAAACAAAGATGAATTTCTACAAAAGCATACACAAAGTTTAATGCTAGAACTGCTATCTATAAGGGGACTTAGTATTTTAAGGAAAAATTGAAAACATGGAAGCCATGCTATGTAACAGTGACACGTCACACGCTATAACCTTTTGTGCAAAAAATTCAGATTACTAAAATTGACATTGAGAAGTCGTCAGTAACCTATAGTTTTGAAATCTTCTCATCTCTTACCATTCAGGTAATACCACTTCATTAAAGAATACATCATAGTAGCACTGCATTCTCTTTCATCTTAAATGAGCATACAAGGTACAATAATATTTCTTCATTAACTCAGTAATCCGGTTTCTCTGCTAGGAGCCTCTGCACTGCTTTTTAAGTAGTTTAGTCCCCCCTCCCTCCCTCTCAATCCCTACTTCGTTTTTCCCAATATAAAAACATTACTTATAAAGACTAATCCCCTGTTTTAAATATCCTGACCATTTACATATAATGAAGTGGAAACTTATTTCACTTCCCCAAGAGACCTGTTGCAAATGATCACCAACATCTTTTTCTCAAATCATATCCTTTTCTTCTCTTTCATCCATTTGAGTGTGAGAATATGTAACTCATATAATTTCACCAAATTCACACTTGACAACTCCATTATACCAAGTCAAACATGCTCTTTACAGGTAAAAACATAGACAATTTTGGCATTCCCAGGGACAAGCAAATCACTTCAAAACCAAGAAATATAGCAACCATCTATTTTGCTTCATGTGCCCAAGAGGCCAAGAATTTCCAAAATGCCCAATAATTCGAAGAGAGATTTCCTCTAAAGCATTAGACCTAAGTATAACTCCAAAGTAAAAAACTCTTAACCAAAGAAAGAAACCCTCAAGCCCAAAAAATTTCATACTACAATTGAGGCAACTGCATATAAAATTGAAACAAAAACAAACAGAACTTTATGAAAGTTCAAACCTTAATCACTAGAGCTAAGTATAATTCCAAAGTCAAACTCTTAGCCAAGCAAATAACCTCAAGCCCAATTTTTTTTGAAGAGACATTTCCTCAGCTAATTATAATTCCAAAGAACTTAAATTTTTCACACTATAACAGAAAAAAGGAAAAAACTTTGATAGAAGTTCAAACCTTTTGGCTCTCTTGGGATCAATCAAAGCCAACTCAGCAAGCCGATCAGGCGCCATAGCTTTCTTAACAGAGCTCTCAGCCTCAAACGACGCAGCAGAAAAAGAACCATCCATCGAATTGCTATGCCTATGACGAGAACTCGAACCGGAACCCAAACCCATCATCTTCTTCTCCTCCGACGCAGCGGGCGTTGTAGCTCCAGCTTCACCAAACTCCAGACCATCAAAAAAGTCGGCGTCAACGGAAAGACTCCTGAAGTGATTCAACGGTCTAGGTTTATGATCAGTACCCAGTCCGTTTGAAGACGAGTCAGCTGAATTCGCCGGCTGCATGTGGGTATCAGTAGAAGGGGACAACGCCGGCGCCGAAATGTCAAGGTTGAAGTCAGCAACGACGTCGTCTAAGAGGATGTCATCGTCGAAGTCAGGGAACCTGAAGAAAGTCTCCGACTGTGCCCGGCGGTGACGTGCTATACGGGTCGGAGTATCCGGCATCTGGTCAAGGTCAATCCGACCCGATAGAAATGGGATGGGTATAGGCTTTCCGGTGAACTTCGGGTCCATAGTTTGTCCAAATCAATTCTTCAGTTCGATTTTGGAAAGAAGAAGAGAGAGAGTAGAAATGGGGTTGGCGGTGTGGAAGAAGAAGAAGAAGGAGGGAGAGAGGCAGTTGGCTAAAAGTGCAAACTCACATGGGAGGGTTTATTATAGTTGTTAGGAACGGTTAACCAACTGTGGCCGGAGCGGTAAAAACTCATTTATTTGGTGTGAAATTTTGAACTTGAGTTTGTCAAGATCAGGTGTCGAGTTACTCGTTTATTTTTAATTGAGAGATTTTGAATTTAAGTTTTTTAAATTAGGCATAGAGAGGTAAATACTCTTCCGTTAATTAAGAGGAGAGAATATATGAAAATTTGAATATAATCAAGTTAACCAAGAGAAGAGAATATATGAAAATTTGAATATAATCGAATTTTAGTGTGAATATCATATAACAAACGGAAATTTTTAAAAGATATATATAAAAAAGTCCAACACTTCAAGATAAAATAAGAGGTTTTACTATTTTATTGACCATAGTGTTCTCTATTTTTTTAACCAATATTTTAAACTAATAGGGAATATTTTTAAATTTGAGAAAAATGATAGGAAATTGTATAAAATTGTTTAAAGTTATAAGATATATATATATATAAAAGAGCACTAGGTTCGCCTATGTGCGTCATCACAAACCATGATTCCCTTTTAATTTATTTATTTTCAAAATTAGCCTTTCCCTCCTTTCAGTAACCTTCATAACCGTCACCACCATCTTACAAATTAAGCCTCCACCAAATCTTCCATATGTATAAATATCAGTCTCCTTTGAACTTACTTAAGCAACTGATCGCCAGCTATGAATGCTGGGCCAAACTTAATCCTATGTAATCTTGCATTGTTGCATGCATTAGTCTACCGTTTCTCGATAATCTTACTTTACCTTTGGTGATTTGAGTTAATCATTTTTTTGTCTAAGGGTGGTACAATATAGATTGAAGGTCAATGACATTTATTAGAACTTTAAATTGATATTTGAAGTACACGTTGTTGGATTTTAAAAGGTATGAGTAAAATATGAAGAGTTGCGACTTTCATAAAAAGTTGTGACTTTTATGAAAAGTTGTTACTTTTATGAAGAGTTGCGACTTTTATGAAAAAATTGTGACTTTTATGAAAGGTTGTGACCTTTCCGAAGGATTGTAACTTTTCCAAAGAGTTGTGACCTTTCCGATAAGGCACAATAAGCATTTGTTCACACTACCCTTTGTTGTCTATAAATAGAGGAATTTTCTCTCATTTTAAAATAACGAAAAATTCTGAACTACTACTTTTTCTTCTACACAATTAAATATTCGTGTACTTTGCTCCTGTTGATTAGTGGCTCACTAACACCATTATTATTCTATCATTACACTGTTGAATAGAATCGGTCTATCATGAGGGGATCTATTCCTTTAAACCTCGGGTACTAGAGGGGAATAAGTGCATTCAGTGGGCTCGATTTTTTCCTTTATATTTCATCCTATTGTTACAGATCTTGGTTTATTTTTTACAATCACTAATTTATGCTTATGTTATTACTTGTTGTTTTTGAGTACATGCTTTAAACTTTGTTGATTATGTTTTGCAAAGATATTATTATAACTATTTGTTAGTACAAATAAAATAACACACGGTAATTGAGTATTCACACAAGTTTTCTCTACTAGAATTGTTTAAAGTACAATAAAAAAAATCTCTTAAAGATCTATACTACCATCTCTTGAAGACAAAATTCAATTATGGTATGCCATTATAAGTAATTAAAGACCAAACATTATCGTATCTTGATGTGAGAAGTGAACCAACAAAAGAAGATAAAAATTAATAAACTTTTGACATGGCTTCAAGGATGTTGTGATGGATGACCTATAGAGGAATATGACTAGATTGGAGCCTCTTTTAATTCCAAGACATAGATAACTATACAATAAATTAATCGTTCATATTCAATATGAAGTATGGATAGATTCTCAAGTTTACTGCAAGTTGTAAATATCTTTCTTGAAGTAATAGATGTGTATCTCGACACTATGATTGAAATGGAAGTGTAGTTTCAAATTGAACTCCATCACTCTAGTATGCTGATTTTTAAAAAATACCCAAACAAACTGAATAGTTTTGTGTAATATTTTTCCCTTTCAAGTATATATGATAAGTCGAAATGTTGTCCAATATGATACATTCCTCCTTTAATTTTCCATTTTAATAATTTTTAATGATACATTTAAGTTAGGAACTTTAAAATGATATATGTAAAGTAAAATGTAGGGCTGAACTTTCTACAACGTTAAAATTAAAATATTTTTCTACTTTTTTCAGCCTTTTGAAATTTATTTTTCCTTTCACCAATGATTATTTGTTTATTAGAAATTTAATATCTCAGGTTGATGTTCATTTGAATCCCCAAAAATATCAAATAGTAATGCTTCCTGGAAGCAAAAGGATAAATTATAAAATTATTAATGTTTGTTACTACGTAATCTTGTATGTAAGATAATATAGTCTTTTAATTTTAATAATCGATAGGCTTTAAGTATTATTTTAGAAATTCCGTGATATTGAATCCCGCGTGAGGTGCGGATAAATTTTACTAGTATATATATAACTTTAGATTTGAAAATGGACTTACTGTCGACTTCGAAGAATATCATGACGTGACATGTTGGCAACTTAGGTAATATAATTGCATGGAATATTCTAGAGTTGTAGAGTATTCTAGAAAAAAACTTATTTATAAATATGTAGGGACTTGTTTGATAATTATTATTTACGTAATAGCCCCTAAGTTAGTAGTACAAATAAATGAGCATTCGTTTGTAAATTCATCAAGCAAAACCCTTCAATCTTCCAAGCAATATAAAAGTCTTCTTAAAAATTCTCTTGTGTCTTTCTTCATTCTCTTAGCGATCCAGTATTAAAAGACCTCCTTATGTCATGTAGTGTCTAAGTGGCATGATAATTTTGTGTCATGACAATTAACTTAGAAAAGAAAATATGATGATGTAGGAAAATCGATAGAAGAAATAACTGATAGAAAGACGTTACTATTGTCTTCTTCGGCGGCTGAACAAAACAATAGCGAATCGTATGATTCGTAGGGTGTTGGGCAGGGTTCGATACTCTGTTCTTCTATAATAATTTTTTGTATCCGAGTATGAATTTTATATCCGAAAAATGTACGTACAAATTTATATCCGAGAAATCTACTATGTTACTCTTTAATAAATATTGTATCAGAGTAAGAATTTTGTATCTAACAAATGTATTGTTTTTCTATAATGAATTTTGTATTCAAGTACATTATATAGCTTATTGTTGTCAAATAGTTAAATTAAAATTTTAAAAATAAATTACAACATATAGGAGAGACCACAGGGTAAACACATTTTGGAAATGAGTCAAGTGGTCAAATGCATAAAACGTGAGGTGAGTGTTTTATGAATTTGAGATGTTAGTCTCACAAGATTTTTTATGCTTTTATAATCACTTGAAAGATATTTAGGAGTTTGCTCATTTTGAAATTTCTCTTTTTTTTCTAGATGAAATTACTATATATACATATATTTTAGAATATTGATTAGCGATAAACTTCTACAAGTATAGGTGCAGAAATTTATGAAAGGGATAAAATTATTCTTATTTTATTCTCATAATAATTATTGCCAATTTAGAAATATGATGAATAAATATAATTAGTAATAAAATGATAAGGAATATTAAGTTATAAAATATGTTTAACAAATATTATTGGTTTGCTTTGAAAAAAAATAGAATCAAATGAGAGAAAATCAAACGATTGGAATGATGGAACAAATTAAAATATAATGGGATATGACTAAATTATTTGGCTAACTCTAGAACACTTGATTAATTAATTGGTTAATATAATCACCACCAAATAATTGGGGAGTAATAATGCTAAAGAAGCTTCCTTCTTGTCGGAACAATTTGTTGTTTTCTATTGAAGTGATTCAATGTGTGTTTATTACTCTTTAACAAAAAAATTATAATGGTTTTGACATTAATAATGCCACCAACAAATGATTAGACAAGAAGTAATATAGATGCAATGAATTTAACTAAGTATATATTCAAATGAAATCTTGACGTGGCTCATAAAATTGTTGTCATTTAATTTAGAGATCATATATTTCAATTGTGAAAATTATCTTTTGCATTAATTAATATCATGTAAAACTGTATATAATAATTTGATTTTTTTTTCCAGACGTTACACATAACAAATATTTAATTTATCAGGTTGTCTTTATTTTAATTTTTTTATGGTGGAACTAAATCATTCATTAATACCACTTGTAAATATAATGATGATATTACATTTGGTCTATGGATTAATTATAAATAGTTCTTCAAGGATAACAAGTTATATCGTCGGCCATGGATATGAATATTTTGTGCAGTGCAGATAAAGACAGGTATTGCTATTCAAAAAGGATGTTTATATTTGTAATTGATTTAAGATATTATTGAATAATAAATTAAACTTTGTATTATTATTTAAATATATACTAAAAATAATAGCTGGTCAGGAATTCAATCAATTAATATGTGTTCTAAAATTATCACTACTTACCATGCAAGAAATTGATTGGATCTTTGTTTTTGGATAGGTTTAAAAAATAAGTATAGTTGAATTACAAGCAAGATTAATTATATGAAAAAATTACATAAATAAATATCTTATTTTATTATAATATCTAAGATTTTTTACCAGTTAAAAAAATTATAAAAATCCCTTTTCGTATACATTCCTATCCCCTCTCGGATACATTCCTATCCCCTTTCGGATACATCCCTCTAATGTATCATTTTCAATTTGTGAGCTATGTACTCACATGTTTTCTGATGTATCCGAGATCCTATAAATTTCAGAGATTTTTGTAATTTGGAAAAGAATAAGGATATAATTTAGTTAGCTCTTAACACTATAAAATTTATATATGTGTGTATGCGTGCCCACGTGACAGAGACACATATAATTATTGAATGATGTCAATCGACATCTCTTTATTAAAAAATTACATTGTATAATTAGATAAAAATATCTTTTTAATACACAATACATATTATCACTTCTTGATTTCTACGTAATTTTATTTCTTTTATATTTTGACAACTCTTAATTGAAATTCTGACTCGCCATCATTGTGTGTGTCTTGCTATAGAAGTCGGCATGTCGGCATATTACAAGTTTATGAAAAAAATTACAGTTTGAGTCAACAGAAATATTATAACTATGTGTATAATAGCCCAACAAGATTGGTAACTTTGAATCAAGACATGATTGGTAAATTTGAGCTTTGCCAAAAGTTTTTTATGCTTTTCTTTCTAAATTTAATTATTATTGAAGTGATTCATTTGGATTCGTATTTTCAAAAGATTATAAATCTCTAATTAAAAATAAAGAGTGTCATTATTTCAAGCTAGTGATAACATTCATGTTACTAGATACGAATTCGTCTTTTTAAATAAATTTGATTTTCAAGTTATTCCATTGCACAAATTGATAATTGACCAATTAATTAAGCAATAAGGAATATCAAATCTACTCAATTATGAGTTAGTGGACCTCTATTGTTCGAGTTGTTTCCTATATTACTCTACTAGTAATTAATATCTTTCTTTTATGAGAGAAAATGACTAAAAATTCTCCTAAATTATTTAAAATAAGTTAATTTTATTCTCCGTTAATTTTTTAGCTCAAAAATGTTATCTCCATTGGTCAATTAGCTAAGAAACGCCCTTTGATTAGTCAAATATTTCAAAATACTCTTCTTACTAACGATCTCTTTTGTTAAACAACTTTTGCTTACATGAAAGTCCATGTTCCCTCGATAGCTATATTATATTATACATACTACTATGCTTTTTCTACTAATATATATATATATATATATATTCCTAGCTTGTGGGTTCATAATATTGGTGCAATCATGCATGACGATAATTAAGTCAGTTTTTGTGATTTAAATGAACAATTTGTTCTTTAATTTATGTGCCAAAATAATTTCTTATTACCAAAAAGGATTCAAAATCAACCTCCAAAAATCGACAAAAAAATTTGACCTTAAGCGGTCGATTTTAGCATATTTTTTTTTTTAAAAAAATATTTTATTATGAAATTGACCTTTGGAGGTTGATTATTTAGCACCAAAAATCAGAAAAGTGCAAACCAACCAAGCTCGGTCCATGATCTCTGGGGTTGTTTACATTTTTTTTTTTTAAAAAAATCGACCTTCGCCGACCTGACCTTAAACCTTAAGACGCCAAGACCCAACCTTCAACCCCAACTCGAGCCCTGAGACTCCAGGACTTGAGCCTATACCAAGCTGTAATTTGGTCGAGCCTCGAGACGATTGAGTCGGAGAGGGGTTGGTCATGTGTCGATTAACGATCGAGGGTTTGGCAATGTGTCGATTAAGGATCAGGTTTTGAGTTGGGGTCAGGGCTTCAATGGTTGGATCACAGGTTAGGGTTGGGTTTAGGGTTGATGTTGGGTCTAGGGCAGGGAAGATCTTAGATTAGGCATTAGGTCTTGAGTTAGGGTTTAGGTCGGGGCGTGTCTCGGATTGGGAGGTTTTGGGTCGACTCCTTAGTTGGTTAGGCGCAGGGTTGGTCACATTATTAATTAGGTGGTAGATTGAGGGCAGGGGTGGACCCACGTTGTATCCAGGGGGTTCACCCGAACCTCCTCGGCAAAAAATTACACGGTATATATAAGGTAAATTTTCTACATTTCTGTAGATATATATATTTTGAACCCCCTCAATAACAAAGAGAAATTGATGGCATAGTGGCAAGTACCCTTGAAACTAAATTGTATGTCATCGGATCGAATCCCAGTGAAAGCGTTTTCTTTTTTTCTTTTTTAGTTTCAGTTTTTTTTAGTATTTTTTTTTAAAATTTTCAGTTCTGTTTTTCAAAAATATTTTACTTTAAAAAATGTGCTAAAAATTTGGTTTTAAACCCAAAAGAATTCAAGGTTTCCATTTCTAAAGACTTGTTTACACGTTTATACTTTTATTTTTCGAACCCCCTGAACGAAAATCCTGGGTCTACCACTGATTGAGGGGCTAGGTGTTGGGGGTGTTTAGGTGAATTAGGTGATGAAGAATAGGGTCGTGAGGTTGAAAGAGAGTTTAGGAAAATGTTTTATGTATTTTCATGAAAGATGCTATGGAGGTTGGAACTCTAAAACATTGATGGTATGGCAATATAAAATATAAATGTAAATATTGCAGGTAACTATTTAATAATCACAGATTGATATAAATACTATTCTAGTTGTCTTAATTTATATAACACTCTATTCTTTTTAGTTAGTTCAAAAAAGAATTAAGGATACATTTGCTTATTTGACAAAGATTTAATGACACTATCAATATTTTATCCATGTTAGGTCTCACTTATTTGAAAAAGTTCACAAAGGTGTATTGTTTTTAAGGATAGTTCTGAAATATTGTAAAATCTTTTCATATTTCTCAAACTCCATGTCGAATCATTCTACATGACATAAATTGAAACGGAAGAAGTAATTAACTAGCTATATAAGGTCAACTTACAGATGATTTAATAACATTTTACATTACCAATGTATTAAATTAAAATCATGTAATTAAGCATGTTCAATGGTAATGAATTACATCACTTTGATTATATGATCATGAATTAACTACCCAATCTGTTGAAACTTGTAAAGTATATTACCCTCGTCATTGCATTTTTTTTTTCAATTTATTAAAATATGATGTATTTTTATATTTGAAAATAATTTAATATTTAATTTTATATTTATTTTTAATGACATTATATTTTATAGAAACACAAATAGTATATATATATATATCATTTTCAAGCCTATAAGCTATAAGTTGAGGTTTCCACCTAAGAATAACTTTCCCATTCTCCCCCACCATCGCCGCCCCCTTTCACCACCACCGCTACCACCAAAAAATGGGGAAAGGTGCTGCCTTGTCAAACGAAGTAGTGAAGAAGATCATTCTTTCTTATACATATGTAGCACTCTGGATCTTCCTCTCCTTCACTGTCATTGTTTACAGCAAATACATTCTTGACCGCAAGCTCTATGGATGGCCCTTTCCCATCTCTCTAACAATGATCCACATGACCTTTTGTTCATCTTTAGCTTTCCTCCTTGTTCGTGTTTTCAAAGTTGTTGAGCCTGTTTCCTTATCTTGGAATGTTTATCTCACTTGCATACTTCCCATTGGTGCTGTTTACTCTGTTTCTCTTTGGCTTTCAAATTCTGCTTACATTTATCTTTCTGTTTCCTTTATACAAATGCTCAAAGCCCTTATGCCTGTTGCTGTTTATACCATCGGGATCTTGTTTAAAAAGGACACTTTTAACAACTCCACCATGGGTAATATGCTGGCAATTTCAGTGGGTGTTGCTATTGCTGCTTATGGTGAAGCAAAGTATGATTCTTGGGGTGTTTTTCTTCAGTTGCTTGCTGTTTTGTTTGAGGCTACTAGACTTGCTATGAAACGGATCTTGTTGACTTCAAAGGGTATTATTTTGAATCCAATTACTTCTCTCTACTATGTTGCTCCTAGCTGCTTGGTTTTCTTGTCAATTCCTTGGATTTTTCTGGAGCTTCCAATTTTGAGACAGAGCTCGAGTTTTCAATTTGATTTTGCTATTTTTGGGACTTATTCGTTGTGTGCCTTCGCCTTGAACTTGGCTGTGTTCTTGTTGGTGGGAAAGACTTCAGTTTTGACTATGAATGTTGCTGGGGTTGTCAAAGATTGGCTTCTTATTGCATTTTCTTGGTCAGTGATTAAGGACACTGTGACTCCAGTGAATCTGATTGGGTATGGATTAGCTTTCTTGGGAGTTGCATACTATAATCATAAGAAGTTACAGGCGAAGAAATCTCAGCAAGCTGATGAGGAAGCACGGAGATTGTTGCTTGAGAGAGACTCTAATGGATCATCTGATTCACAGGCCTAGGATATCCACATTTCTTTGTTTACACTGCAGATTCAATTTATGTATCTTATTACTAGTAGATTTAAGATCTGAGATACCCTTCCTTATAGCTGTTTTGAGTTTCTGCTACTATTTTTACTTGTTCAATCCTTGATATTTCTACTATAATTTATTTTTATTTTTAAAAAAAAGCCTATAAGTTACACAATTTTTTTTGGGCTAACCCATCAGTGGTCCCCTAAACTTGGCACCAACTTTCACTTGGACACTTTAACTAGACTTTGTTCATTTTAAGCACCTCATGTGAAACCTCATTGTGTCATTTTGACACTTTTTATATTTTCAAAATCGCATTTTAAGTGCGTACATGCAGACGCCTCTTATGTGAAAAAATAAACGAATTGGTATGTGACACGTGAAAATTTTATTTTATTTTTAAAAATCTCAATTTACTTTCTTTTTTTCTTTCTTCCAGATCCCAAACTCCATGCCCCCACCTCTTTTCTTCTTCTTCTTGCGCCTCCTTCCCCTTCATCTGTTCTTCTCCATAAAAAAGGCAAGAACATAGGTTAGTTTACAAAGTAAAATACGTTTTGGAGAATGAGGGAAATCATATCAAATCGAAAAGTTTTTATATGACATTTAAAAGAAGATGATTTCTTGTGCTACTACGATTGGGATTTACAATGAAGGATATGTAAAATAATTTATTTTTTTTCATTGGAGGTTGTTTTTTTATTTCTTTTTTATTCCTTGAAATCAATTTAATTTTCAATGGAGATGGTAAGAATGTAAATCAGTTTTTCCATTTGAAAGAAGTTAATTTCTTTTTTTGTTCCCTTGAAATCGATTTTGTTTTTGAATATGAATCAAGATGCAAATTCAATTTTCAAAGAAGATGGAAGAATCAAAGAGTGTAACCTAGTAAAATATTGTAGAATTTTTAAAAAAAATTGCGTGGTGATGGAGGATGGTAGAAGGTGGGGAAGATGGAAGGGAGAAAGCAAGGAAGAAGAAGGAGAAGAAAATATTTACAAAAAAAAGTGTCACGACCCAAATTGAGTCATGAGTGGCACCCACACTTAACCTCCTAAGTGGGCGGACCAAGGAATCTAAACCCCAACATATACCAATAATTCAACTACGAATAACAACAATAACGCGGAAGCTCCAAAACTTATTAAAGTAACCAATCAAATAAACTTCTAAAGTCTATTACATATTATCCCCAAAATCTGAAAGTCATCACATCAAAGACATCTAATCTCTCAATACTAAGTCTAAGAGTATCAAAGACACAGAAATAAATGAAATAAAGTAATTTGTGTCCGAAAACTATGGACATCAAGTCATGACCGAGGGAATCCAACACAAGCTCGAATGCATAGCTCACCCTTAAACCTGATATGCTGAGATTGGCTAGAGCTGAGGGCTAGTCAAATTTGCTGGTACACTCGTTGCACTCCATAAAAGGAAAACAAAGAAAAATACAAGTAGGGATCAATACGGGGCAACATGTACTGAGTAGGTATCATCGGCCAACCCAAAATAGAAACTAATATACAATGAATAATAGTATAAAGTCAGCTATAGTACTTAGTAGGTGATAAGAAACCACAACATGAACAAGTGACAGTTGAAGCAAATACGTAATCAATCACAATATCAAGCGCACACACGAGGACTCATGCCTCCACATCACACTCGTTTGGGAAATGCATTCATTGAGATTAAGTACATTAAGTTAATTCAATATATTTTTCCTTTAATGTTATCGTGTCGGAACGTGACACTCCGATCCAAAAATATCGTGTCGGAACGTGACACTCCGATCCAAAAATACCGTGTCGGAACGTGACACTCCGATCCAATTATACCGTGTCGGAACGTGACACTCCGATTCAAAAATACCGTGTCGGAACATGACACTCCGATCCAAAAATACCGTGTCGGAACGTGACACTCCGATCCGATAATATTATTAATTTATCATTTATTATCACTACTTTTCAATTCATTAATAATATTACATCAAGCCTTCTTTATTCAAGGCATCACTTCGATAGAGAGGTTTTCAGATTATAAATCTCACGGTCTCAGGATTTTAGACCAATCACAAACCACACAACCAAGCCACACAATCACACAGTCAAGTACATAGAGAACTTCACGATATCATTCAATGCATATCAATCGCTATTAAGAGTTTATCTATCAAATAGAATAAACCATAACCTACCTCCACCGAAGAACTGAAGTCAAGCAAGTTACTTCTCCAACACGTTTCCTTTCCTCAATGCCTCCGAACCTTTCCAATCTATCAAATATATATATGCATAATTTGTAAGTTAGCGATTCTATAAACACTCATATTATTCTAGTCTAACCTAGACCCAAAAACTCACCTAATTTCTATAATCAATTTCCTAAAGTTCAAACCTATGGGTAAGTCTTAATTTCTCCAATTAGCATATCTTTAATGGAATTTAAATAATATAATGTACCTAATATTTAATTACCTATCTCAATTCATTAAAACTTAAATCACAACATGATAATTTTAAGAAGATAAGGACCAAACCCACATATTACAATTGACCGTAGCATTACTGTATAAGGATGATGGCTGCAAGTTTAATGTAACCTCCCACATATATGGATTCTATATTTTTCCAAGTATCCTATTGCCATTAACCAATCATATCTCATCATGGTTTAATTATTACCTTCCTTGCCTTTTTATCCAAAATCTCAACCAATGAGTGAATCAAATGCATGCATATATTATCGCTACACCTTCCGCTTCGTGATTTCTTTAATCCACTAACAACTATCCGTGCAATTAAATAATTACCACCCCCACTTACATTCAAAAACCCAATTTGCCGGTCCATAAAACCAATTCCTATAACACCATATGCACATATATAAATTTAGCACAGTAATTTCCTTACCCTTTAACAATTCCCATCATTATCTTGAAGTTGATCACTTGGAATTTTTCCAATGACTGCAGGTTCCACGTAGATTAAACAAACAAGGTTTCCACCAAAGTTTTCAACCCAAAGGCGTCAATAATCAATACCCACAAATTTCCCTTACAGTCTAACGACAATTCATCTCCACATTACTATTGATGTAAATTTTAACACCAGAAATAGAACAATTCGTAGAACCAAACCTGAGAAGCTCGGCTGCTGCTCTGCGTAGCTTTCACACGAATAAACCCTCTTCTCAATTTGTTTTTACAGATTATTCATCACCCTAGTTATTATATGACCAATTATAAAAGTGGTAAAAGTGGTCCACTATTAATTTTAATATATCTCCTTTCACCACCAACTAAAATAATTATTAAAACTACCCCACTAAATTCATAATTGTAGTTACGAATAGTCCAAAGTACGCATTTAAAATCTATCGGAAAGTATTTTATGAAATAAAAAGCTCTAGTACTCAAAACGACCAAACGGGTCGTTACAAAAAGTCTCTGACGCGCTCAAAATTCGTGTAGCATACGTACTGTGCTTAGTCAGCAAAAAGTATCAAAATGACACAGCGAGACCCTACATGAGGTGTCTAAAATAAACATCACCCACTTGAGGTACCTAAGTGAAACTTCGTGCCAAGTTTAGGGGGCCACCGATGGATTAGGCCATTTTTTTCTATATCATTTGGTTTACAATCAGATTATCTTGGGAATATAATCCGGAATTAATATATCACCATCTATATATGAGATAGATTATTCCATGATTGTAGTAAAGGCCTATAGGCTATAGTATACCACTGCTGAATATAGTGCAACAGATAGAGGAGATTTCGGATAAAAACTAAATGTTAGAAATTCTTACGTCTTACAAATACGTAAAGATTTAATAGTTATAACTTTATTTAATTTCAAAATCATCAATATCAAAATAATAATTAAATGACAATTATTTAGGAAAAATAGTAAATGACAATTTTTGTCTATATAAAACATTTTAGTAAAGAACCAAAAATTCAATCAACGTTTCTAACTTGTAAGGATCAACATGTTTTTAATATGATATATATAATAACTTATTTTGATGCTTACACTTGTATTTTAATTAACTTGAAGACAATTTTAATTGGGATGGGATTACTTAAATGTTCTACTTGATCTAAATTAGTTAGAAATTAATTATTCTTATTAAAATATAATACATGATTTTAATTAGTGAAAAAAATATTTGGATAAAAAAGATTAATTATTTATGTGGCTGCTGGGATTCGAGCCCAGGTCTCCACGGCCACAACGTGGAATTCTTACCACTAAACTACAGCCACAAGATGTTTCCATTTGTCAACAATATAATATATATTTCATGTCGAAATATATTGTTGTTGAATACTTGCAAAACTAGCTAATATTTTAGTCAATCTTTATAAATTTTATGCAATTTAAACATAGATCAATATATGTTTCCTTGAAGATTCAATGCCACAACTCCTCAAATGACAATGAAAATACGATCACAATGAATGTGTTTTAGTTTGAAGTATTCATTAGCCTAATATGATATCGGGATGGATCTAGAAAGACGATGTTGAACTTATTGGTATTAGGTATGAGTTTATGTCTAATCGTAGTACAAATAAAGATAAGGTATAAATATTTTTATAACCTTGGTATCAAAGCAAGCTTGCGTGCATCACGATTAGTTCCACGGGATACTTATCACCTACCATCAGCAACATGTACCAAGCAACTCTATCAACCAAGATTGAGACAAAAGAAATCACCTAGCTTGTATTTTTTGTCTCTATTAGAGATCGAACCTAAAAATCCAAAGTTCTAAATCTAATTTTTTTAATTAAAAGTAGAATCGTGAACTCAATATGTAACTTGAAAATTCAACACCAAAAATTCAAAGAAAAAATTGATACGAAATTTTGAAATTTTCGAAAGTTAAATTTGGTTGGAGCCTTGTACGAGTCCGAAGTTTAACAACTCAAATATATTAAATTCGTGTAAAATGCATTTAAATTTGGAT